AGACAGAGACAGACAGAGACAGACAGAGACAGACAGAGACAGACAGACAGACGAAAAGAAAGAAAGACAGAAAGAAAGAACAACAGATAGACAGCAAGAAAGAATCCAAGCAAGAAAGAAAGACAGAAAAAAAGACAGTCAGAGAGAAACAGACGGAGAAAAAGCGACAGAAACAAAAGGCGAGAGAGAAGAGAGAGAGGGAAAGAGAGGGAGACACACATCAAGGGAAAGAAGCCCGACGCCAGCCTACGAGAAAGAGAGCGCAGAAGGAGAAGTGCCACAGGCAGGACACGGCCACCGGGGCGCTTCTCGCCCCTGGCCGGATAGGGCTGACCGCCCCGTGCGCCGACCACCTCCGACCCACCCCGTGTCGCCCTCAGGTCGTGTGTTTTACAGTGTTTCGTGTGTGTGTGTGAGGTACAAAAACCAGTGTGTTTTACAAAACGCATACTAAAATGAGACGCGGCGAAGATGGAGAAATGCAACAGCACTGTGTTTTTCCAGGGTGGTGTCGGTAATGCGCGCCGCGCGGACAGGATTAATCGACATTTCGTGGGTGTCGGGCACGTGCCAACGTCAATGGCGGAGAATGTGCTCGAAGATGACCGGACAGAGGCCCTCCAGATGACCAAACATAGGTCTCAGATATGGCACACATAGCCGCAAGATAACCCTACATAGGTCCCAGATATGGGAAACATAGCCCCAAGCTGGGCCAAGATAGCCTCAAGATGTGGCAACATAGGCCCCGCACAGTCTCAAAGAAGAGAGAGAGAGAGAGAGAGACACACAGACACAGACACAGAGACAGCGACAGAGACAGTGACAGAGACAGACAGAGACAGAGACAGAGACAGAGACAGAAACAGAGAGAGAGAGAGAGAGACAGAGACAGAGAGAGAGAGAGAGAGACAGACAAACAGAGACAGAGACAGAGAGAGACAAACAGAGACAGAGAGAGAGAGAGACAGAGACAAACAGACAGAGAGAGAGAGAGAGA